AGTCAGGGGGACAGTCACGGTCAAGGGGACAGTGTCAGGGGGAGGACAGTCATGGTCAGGGGGACAGTCATGGTCGGGGACAGTCACGGTCGAGGGACAGTCAGTGTCAGGGGGACAGTCAGTGTCAGGGGGACAGTCACAGTGGGGGGGACAGTCATGGTCGAGAGGACAGTCAGTGTCAGGGGGACAGTCACAGTTGAGGGGACAGTGAGTGTCAGGAGGGCAGTCAGTGTCAGGGGGACAGTGCGCCCAGTCCACTAGCTGGAAGGAGTAGGCCGCGATCAAGACCACACAACACAAGAAGTTTACAAAAGGAAAAATACTTTGTTTTAAAATCTTTGCTACATGTCATTATTTTTTGCCACTGAAAGGCTCAGCTCCGATGCTAGCTGTCCAGAGATGGCCACCCAGAAACAAAGAGAACAATCAAAATAAAACCCTGAAGGAAAAGCAGAAACCAACCCCCGGAGCATCTTCTTCCCACCTTCCCTTCCTCAAAGTCCTAAGACAACTGTACAGCACTGTAGTCCTGATCACATTTAAAAACAGCTGATTATTAAAAAACAAGGATTCCATTGGAAACTCAACCTTTTGGTTTCTTAAGTTGCGATATAAATATATATATGTATACTGTATGTGTGCAGAGAATAAAAAAATAAACTGTCTCCTTCCCCGCTGCAGCACGTGGCGGTGCCTGGAGACAGAGGGGGGAACTGGCGGCTCTCAGCCCCCCAAGGTCACGCTGCGCCTCACCCCCATGGGGCGGTCAGTAACGCCGTAGTTTTACATGTAGGGCACTGGCCTGAGCCGATTAAAACCAAAACATGGCTGGTACACTGAATTACCTGAGGAGGGCAGGAGGCTGCATTTCTGTGGCTACAGTTACCACATGGCCCTGCAGGGTGGGCGTCCAGGCCCACCACATGGTTTACCACATGGGTGCTTCGATGCAAAATCCAACCTCGAGGCTGGAGACGAGGGAGAGCAAAGGCCCCAGAAAATACCCACATCTGCTTCTTGAGAGACGAATACACTTTGAGAACAGGATAAAAGAGGCTCCTTGCAAGAGGCTTGGTATCCGGTTGAGCCTCCAGCAGTAGGATTTTCACTGAGACTGTGCATCCAAGAAGTTGAGCTTCCATGCAGAAACAACCTCCACAGAGCACATACTGCACGTGACTGACAGAAAAATGCAGCAACCTTCTGGCCAGCGTGGGTTGTTTTTTGTTCAAGTGTTTGTCTTGCCGCCTACGCAGTCCTGTTTGCAGACCTCCCATGTAAGGTGAGCACACCAGAGTGAACCAGCCTGATCACTGTGTCAGTGAGCTCAATCTGCCCCAGAGCCTGGGCCTGTTAAGCTGAGTGCGGCAAGGACTTTCATTTAAACACTCCTCGGCTGCGGTACTAAGCAGAAAATGCCTGGGAAGGTTAAACTCCTTGGGACTCTTCGAGAAACATACAGAAGACAAAGATAAAATCTGTAACAAATTCTGCATAACTCCCAAATAGGGAGAAACAAAGAGAAAAGCACACACTCACTCCCATCATCTCTCCCGCAGTCTTTCCAGAGGAACCGCCCACAGCTCCAGAGAGAGCCCACTGCCCCCGAAAGCCCCTATCACGTCTCACGGTCCTCGCCTAGGAGGACACTCCACGCTCCCACCTCATTCAGAATTTCTGCCCAGACACAAGCCGTCCAGGGTGAGCACAGGCTGCGGGGCGCCCTCGGCCCCAGCCAGCCCCACTCATGGGGGGCAGTCCGGTGGGGACTACAGGACAGGCTTCTTCGCCTTACCCAGCCCCGTCGCCCAAAGGGCTCCAAAGCCTTGAGGACTTGCTTCGTTTCTTCTACAGATGTTGTTGTAGAGGCAAGGGGGCGAGGGAGAGGCCGAGGGGAGGGGACACGATGGGGGTGAGGGCAGGGCAGGGAGGCAAACTTTATTCTGTTTACAGAAAGATCTGCTTTTTAAAAACAAACGGTTGATTTTCTCCCCCACCCCTATCCTCACCCCAAAAGTCCTATTCCGAAAAGGAGGGAAACATAGTCAGGTCAGGGAATTCTTCACTGTTGTAGCTGCTGCTCTGTTCTCCTAACATGGACAGCATCTCCTAGGAAGAAAGAACACGGGCTCACACGCCTGACCCTGCACTTGCCGAGCCCACCCGGCTCCGCCCTGCACCTGCGCCCCGACCCTGCGTGCCGGGTGGCTGGGCCCGCTGCCTTCCTCGGTTTGCAGCCCTGACTCCTTCAGCTGACAGTGCTCCCAGTGCCTTCGATGCAATCCCCATTTCCTCTATTTTCTAGTCCTCAATATTTCCAAAGGAAGGGAGCTCTGCGTGCCCCAGCTCCTGCGCACCCCACCCCCACAGTGGGGCATCTGCTATCAGGTTCCACCAAAACCCGTTTTGTCTTGTTCCAGTGTTTAAAGTGAGCTCTTCCTCGATCCTGCTGAAGCAGGCCCCGACAACCGCGCAGCCCCCTCGGCGCTAGGGCAAGTGCTGAAGATGGGCTTCCCCTGGGGTAGGCTAACATCAGCGGTGGGGCTCCTCCCATCTGGCCGAGCTCGCCTCCCCCAGCCCCAATCCCAGGCCTCAGCCCGCCGCCACTTCCTTCTGGCTCTCCTCCTTCCCCGGCCCCCGCTAGCCAGTCTCAGAGCTCCTGAAGCCTTCACACCCTCACCTGGAACACCTCAGGTTGGCCGGGCTGCTGTGCTGGCGGCTGCTGAACGTGCTGCTCACTAGAACCTGAGCGATGGTGAGGCTGCTGGCTCTGCCACTGAGGCCAGACCCCCACGCCCTCTGCTGTCCGTGTCTGGAACTGTCCGGCCGCCTGTCCAGCTTCAGGAGCTAGAAAGAAGCCGAGAAGAACACAACTCCCAGCTACCAGCCTGCTGCACAAGTGGCAGTCAGCTTGGCGCACATGGCCGCTCTGCCGGAGGCCTCCTCCCCTTCTCTCTCAACGCTGCCTTCTTATTTCAAAACCCAGCCCCAAGCTGATTTGTTTGTTTCGGGCAGCCTTTCCAAAGAGTTTGTTCACTGAAGCGAAATGCGCCTGTCCTTAAACTTAGGACACAAGTCAAACTTCGCGACGCGTGGCAGTCAGTCTCTTCCACGCGGGTAGGTTTTAATCCCAAATGCACTGTCCATTTCCCAATAATAAATCATTCACTAATTGATGATTAGGAAGCAATGAAGGTCCATTTCCCAATGATCAGGCCAGGCAACCACATGAGTGGCCAAATCCTTCCTCTAGCAGCCTGAGCGTCCTGCTCCCCTCGTTCTGGGTCAGCACTCACCAAAGCTGGAGCCGCGACTGGCGAGGCCCGGGTAGGCAGCAGCGCCGGGAGAAGCAGCAGCAGCAGCGCCAGAGAGGGACATGGGGCTGAAGGAGGCTGGGGCCGGGAAGGTGCTCACCCCAAACTGGGAAGGGCGCGCCTTGGCCGTCGCCTGGGCAGCTACCTGCTGACGGAGCGAAAGGGCGAGAAGCGGCAGACGTGACCATGGCGGTGCCCGCCTGCGCGTCGCTCTGCCGGGCTTGGGCCACGCGCTGCCCACAGGCAGCCTCAGGGAACCCCCGTCCCCAACACTATTTCCAGGCAGCCGTGATACGGTGCAAAATGCAAAGAAGGGTGGGATTAATACTGTATATTTAGGGTTCAGAGAAGTAAGCGAAAATTACTTAAAGCATCCTGTACACTGCAATGTTATGTAAAAACTACAGGTGTTAAAAACACTCTGTGTTAGAGAAAAAACACCGCATCATTTTAAAATTCAGTCTGCATCACTTGTAACGACGCCTTTCTTTTGGTAAGTAAACATTTTTCTCACACGTGCTGTGGAACGTTTGGAAAAGTGAAGGAAAATGAAGAATCATTCCTAATTCTACCACAGAGGCCCATTGTTATATTTTTTAATGGTTTCTTCCAGTTTTCGTTTCCTAAGCTTTTCCCCCCCAAATACTACTGAGATCATCGTGCATGTAACAATTCTGGAGCCAGCTTTGGGTTTTAACATTTTTTAAACATTAGTGATACGTATCGTGTATGAAAAGCAACCTGGCTTTAGGCTGAACATTCTGTATCACACACACGTGTTCCACAAGGATTTCGCACAGTTTTAAACAGACATCACTGTGCATAAGCTAGCAATTCTCCCCTCGTCCTGCCTTGCATACTCCCAGCCAAACAGAGTCCTCTTGCAATGGATTCCCAAGCAGACTGACGGTGAGCCCTGGCCGAGACGACCCCTGTGAGCAGAGGGTCGTCTACAGCCTTGGCTACCCCACGCCCCCACCCAGACGAAACACAGGAAGCGATGGGGGTAGGGGGCTGTCTTCAGACCACCAACTGTAGCTTTTCATGCAGAAAAAAGCCAAACCAACCAAACAAAAGTGCCACCTGGGGACAGACAGCTGAGGCCGTTACCTGGGCAGAGAAGCCTGGGCGGGTGCTGGGTGTCCAGGCCGGGGCGGCGCCTGGGGCGGGCTTGGCGTGGCGGGAGAGCTGGGCCAGCATCTGCCCCGCCGGGGCTGCTGGCTGCACGGTGGTGCCGGGGGCGGCCAGGTGACTGCTTCTGGGGGGGACAGGCAGAGGTGAAGCACTGCAAGGGAGGGTGCGACACTGGACTCCAGGGGCCACAGGGCAACCTGGCGGTACCCCAGGCCATCTTGAGTCCCTTGGCTTCAGGAAGACGGGAAAGGACAGAGACCGACAGTCGCGCACTGGCCGGGTCACAGGAATGGGGCCCAGAGCACCGCAGCAAGATGCGCAGAAATGGAGAGGAGCAGAGCCAGTCCCGTCCCGGGTCCCATGTGCCCTGCCGCCTGAAGTGACCGAGGGAGCCAGCGGGGAACAGACGGCCCACAAGCAGACCCCTCAGTTGTCCTGGGAAGCAGCACACACACACAGGGCTCACCTGAAGTTCTCTGCCAGCCGGGGGGTAGGAGGGAAGGTTGTGCCCTGGGAGAACAGCTGCTGGGTGGCAGGGACAGTGCTGGAGGAGAGGCCTTTGCTCTGATCTGTGGACCGAAAGGTGTGGGGGAGGGTCAGTCAGGGGCCGTAGTGGACTAGCTCAGCCAGCTCCTATCCACTCAAGAGCTGTCGTGGTAAGCGGCGACAGGCTGGGAGACCAGTGGCTGGGCAACACAGGCCACTCAGGAAGTGCTCGAAGCGAGAACTGAGGAGAACGAGGAGGGCCGTACCTGCGTTCATGCTGGAGTAGATTTCTGAAAATCGGGGGTCTCTGTCCTGCACAAAAAGACCATCCGCCTTCTCCAGAGGCTTACTGTGTTCCGGCCCTGCGGCTGTCACAGGCTGAACAGCAACCTGTGGTCCACGGTGGTGGACGAAAGCACGAGAAGATGAATATGACATGCAACAGCCCAAACCCACAGACACACACAAGCAGTCAAACCCACACTGTGGGCAGTTCTGAAGGAAACGCTTCGCCTCCTCGTGAGAGAAGCCACACTCACCTGGGGATGACTGTAGCTGGCCAGCGCGTCCCTTCCTGCTACCACATCCAACTCCGTCTGCTGTTGCTGCTGCCTGTGTTTTGAAGGCGAGTGAGGAAACGGGAAAAGGAGATATGTTAAAAAGAATCTGGGGAAAGGGCTTAAACAAAGTAACAAGACAGTCACTGCCGGCAGTGATTGCTCAGTAAAGGCGCCTGCCATCATTCTCACCTGGGCACACGCTGCCCTGAGCCCGTCTCCAAGGGTAAGTTAGATGGGGCACCTAGCTGTGGTCTCTGAATGGTGCTGGACAGGGCAGGCCGTGGCTCCTGGCTGGAGTTCCTGAGGAAATGGAGCGCAGACAGGACAGAGTGAAAAAAAAAAACAAGTCTCTAGCGGTTAACCTGCAGGCAGACAGTCACTAATGAACCCTGTGTGCTGCCCTCGCAGGGCCAATCCTGCAGGCGACTATGACTGCAGATTGAGCGAGTCACCATAAAGTGACAATATGTGGCCGGAGAAACCATCTCCTTTGGTGCAAGGGCTCTGACTGCAACTGAATGTCAATTCCAGTTGCTGTAGGTGTAAAGTACGCATGTTTACTCATACTGAGTTTTTAGAAACATAGATAAAAAAGTGCAAGTTTATCAAGTGAAACAGCAACAAAGACTATTTCTAAATAGTATTTTTTCCTTCTCTCTCTAGTTTTCAAAATACCTTCCAAAATTTCAGTAAACATTTATTTAAAAAATAAAAGGAGTAAGAATTAACATTAATAATTATTTCCGGAAATATATTCTTGAAAGGACTATGTTCTGCAGACGGGACCACGAAGCCCGGGTAATTAATAGCTCATCTGTCCCCAGCGTGGCTCACTGAATGTTTAAGCCCGCTGGACCAATGCCCAGCAGAAAGTATTTCTTTCGAAATACCACTGCTTCCTGACAATGTACCTGGTCGACCATTCTGATGGCGGTAAGTAAGGAGGTTAATGCTACTCTCACTCGGGCAGCCGCAACACCGACTCTGTAGCCCAAGGCTAGGGAGTAATTGCAACTTTTAAGTCTCATTAAGAAACACAGTTCATAAAGCCAACAGTGATTCCTCTGCTGCAGATGGGCACGGGAAGCGGAAAACCTTTTGGAAAGGATTCACCATTCTGGACTCATTAAGAGCATTCATGACGGGAGGTCGAACCTCTCCACTAACAGCAGTTGGGAGGAAGCTGACTAACCCTGACGGACTGCGTCAGGGCCTGGAGACTTCAGTGGAGGGTGGTGGAACAAGAATGAGCAGTGGACTCTGAGGCCGTGACAGGACTACTGTGTCCATGCTGGATGGGAGCCGGCGGGTCTGCGGAGACAGAATGCACTCCTGGGGGAGAGGTCAGGAGACCATAGGGTGTAAGGGGCTCAGAACGCACTGTGAGCTCAGCTGACAGCAGTGGCAGGGGCTGAGAGCCGTGTTCAAGTAAGTCCTGCTGGGGAAATGCTACCGGACAGCCTGGCATGCCAGAGCCCTCTTCTGTGAAGGGAAGAGTTAAAGGACACAGCAAATTTCACTGTAGCCTTATCTTAAGAAATTGCAAAAAAGGAACAGGAATTGCCACAGCCACTCCAGTCTTTTTCCACATCCAAAAGAGCACAATTCACTGACATTTAGTCTTTTAGCAATAGTGTTTTAAAACGAAGGTACACCAGCCATTTTTTCCAACATAATGCTATGCCCTTAACAACTACTGTGTAAACATAACGTGTACATATCCACTTGGAAGCCAGAAAGGTCCAGGTGACTCTAGTTTTATTGTGGTTATCGGCCACCTGGGGCTGAACCTACTGTGTCTCTAAGGTGTGCGCCACTGGAATAGACTCGCGTGCCCACAAGGCACAAACATGTACAGAGTGGGCAGACACCTGCTCTAAGGGCAGCAAGGCTAGAGCAATAAGTTGCTGTGTAGAAAAATCCTTTCCAGAAAGCTGAAATGTAAAACTGAACTACAAACCCTTCACATCTCGGGACTGGTCCCGAAACACTGTTTGTGAAAACCTTATTCTACGTGGATGAACTATGCTGGTACATACTTCACATTGGTGTTGGTACAGATAATGTACTCGATTTCATCCGAGTACGGGTTCTGGAAAGTAAAGGAGCTGGTTCTCATCCACAGCCATTCTCGGTTCTTGGACCGGAACCGGAACATGACAGACAGCACCTGGCCTTTTAGCTTCACCACCTGGAAAAGTTTTCATTCCATCAGTGAAGCCCATAAAACGTTTCAGAAAGCTTCCCATTCCTACAACCCACGATCTTGTGTCCCTGTCCCTGAAGCACCAGTCTCTTTCGATGTTGCCAACAGAGTGACACGGAACTGAGCAGACAGTTACCGTATTTCTTCTCAGAGCCCCAAGTTAACGGACCACCAGTCAAAGGCAAACAGGGCAGTGACTACTTCCAAGAGAGAAAGCTGCTTTGCCATTGGTTCTGGAGAATCCCTTAAACTTGCTGAGCTGCCTTTACAAATCTTTGCTAGAAAATTTTAATCCCAAAGGTAAGCTGACACGCTGCTCTTCTAGTTGACAAGGTGCTGGCACAGCACCCTTGAAGCTGGCCTGAAGCTGGCCTTGGCTTAGTTTCCTTTCAAAGGAAGTAATTTTAGGGCTCTCCCTGGTGGCTCAATGGATGAAAGCGAAGCACTTCAAAGCTATCTAGAGCCATTTCAGCTTCAGTTCGATTCCCAGAGGTGGCCCTGTGGGCGCGGCAGACCTCTCCCGCCTCCCCACAGCTCCCCTCAGCAGTGGACTTGTCAGTCGGCCTGTGCTGCTCCCCGCTCTGTCTCTGGGGAGTCCTCATCTCCTGCACCTCTGGCCTGCACCCCAGTTCTGTAAGCATAAATACATCTTTACAAAAAAAAAAATAAAAGCTGAGTGTGCTATATAAATTTAAAAAAAAGTAATTTTAGATTGTTTTACTTTCCAGTCTCATAAAAAATAATCTTCCAGCTTTCCATCCCCTACAAAAAACATGAGCAGTTACATGTGTCAGGCACGGCCGTGCGCCTTTCCTCTTCCTTTTTTAAAGAACATGGACATAAATTTGACATGAGTCAAAAGATGGTATGTGAACTCATGCATACGAAACAGTCTTATGCTTTAATACTTACACGTGCCCACTGTGATCATCTATGCAAAAAACCGTAATTATGTTTGTATACAAAGTGGATTTGAAAACATGTTTACTGGTATGTTATCTATTCGAATGAAACATGAGCCCAGCACTTCAAAATACCTATGCTTTAAATTGTTTTTTTTTTGGTAAAGATTTATTTATTCATGCATACAGAACTGGGGTACAGGCCAGAGGTACAGGGGCGGTGAGAGGATTCCCCAGACAGAGTGGGGAGTAGAATAGGCCGACTGACAAAGTAAGCACACTGCTGAGGGGAGCAGCAGGTGGGTCAGGAGAGGTGTGCTGTGCCCTGTGGGTCACCTCCCGGGGTGGGGATCGAACTCATGCTGAAGTGGCTTTAGCTTCTTAGTGCTGTGCTTTAACCCACTGCGTTTCAACCCACTGCACCACCAGGGAGGGCCTAAACTGTTTTTTAAGAAAGAGTTAAACAGTTGTGTTTAAGCTGACAAGTATGTGGCAGCAATGCTGATGTTACAATTTGAGAAATAATTATAGGGGAAAATGGAACATACTTCACTTAGCAACAATAAAATGGCACATTTTAACTATATATACATATACTGTGTGGGGGGGTGTGCATAGTCAGGTGTGTATAAAGTCTTTAGGAATCAAGAGCAAAAATGAAATACTGCAGTAACCAAATGGGAAGGAAGAAATAAATAAATTCAAGAACACTTACGTACTGGAAGCACGCTGGAAATATGCTTTATTTCCAAGCTGCACTGGAAATACTAACTAGATTTATGTAGTAACTAGATTTACGAAAAAAATAAGAAAAGGCAGACGAAAAATAAATCCACCCAGGCATAAGAAACATCAAAACATGGAATTCAGAAATGAAGCAAGCAGCTCTGAGCACCCCTGTGTGTGCATTCAAACACACAGCACGGGGCGGCCGATGCCACAGCTGAGCCTAGGGAGCATCTTTGCGGCCACACGAACTACTTTGCAATATGCACGTTTTCCTGAAGTGTTAAAATGCTACACTCCGTTGGCCAAAAGCAAGTCCGGTTATGGATTTCACAGCCTGAGACGTACCACACAAACCTCACACACTGTCCAAGTCCGCCTTCTGGGCCTCCCCTCCCGAGCCTGCACAGACTGCGGCGGCCTGCGAGCCGCGCTAGGCGGCCGGCGACTCTGAAGCCTCGGGACGCCGCTCCCTTAGAAGCCGGCGAAGTACTTGGAAGCGCATCATCTTACTTAATCAATCTTTGCAACCACACTCTAAATGCTGAGTACTGCTGCTGTAACACTAGCTCATAAGGTCCCTCTTGAAGCTTAAAAAGGGAACATAAGCCATAAGAATTACTGCTTAAAACCAAGTCTGTCCAGAATGCAAACATACCAGGTATTTTCAGAAGCTAGAGACTGAAAATTAAGGTAAAGTCACCTTATAACGAGAGTGGAAATGAGTCAACTCTCAAGCATTGAGTCAACCCCCAATCACAAAAGCTCTGTGAAAAGGCTTTTTCTATCCTTACCCACAGTTCAGTGAGGCCGAGCTTTCTTAAGGTCAGGACAGCTGGTTACACATGAGACGGAGGAGTGAAAGCTACACAAAAATCCTACGGTCGCTGCCTGCGACCTCAAAGTACTGGTCCTGCCCTGGTCTTTAAAAACACAGGTTGAAGCAACCGCCCAGCTTTCGTGATGCCACAGCAACGTGCACGTGTAACGAACGGCGTACCAGGGGAAGGATTACTCAAACCCCACCAAGGAAAGGTCACCTGTTGGAAGCTGTCTCTTAGCAGCTGCTGGTCTTCAGGATGGCAAAATTCTACAATATTCTTTCCTAAAAGCTCCTAAAAGGAAAAGGAGGGCAGAGTCAGCACCCCGCAGTCACGCCTGTCCAGGCCGCAGGGGGGCTGCCTTTATTCTCCCGCCGTTCCCTGCCATTACCGGAGTGCTGAGAAGGTGGGGAGAGGAGGTGAGACTTGGTCAGCAACTTGCACCCACAGCCTATTCCTTTTTCAAAGACACTATGTACCTGTTTAACTGCATTTTTTTTTTTTTACAGATTTCACGTATTTTAAGTGTGAAATGTAATGCGCCTTTCAAATCTCGTGTACTTTTTTATACACGATTTTTTTTACTCTTCGTTTTAATGACTTGTAAGAATTCTTTATATATTCGAGATACAAATCCTTTTTCAGATACATGATTTGCAAATATTTTTTCTTTCATTTTGTCACTGGTCTTTTCACCTTCTTGGTAATGTCCTCTGAAGGGGCAAATTGAAATTCCGATGAAATCTAATTTATTCATTCTTTTCTTTTTTTAAATGATTTACTGATGCACACAGAGCTGGGGTACAGGCCAGAGGTGCAGGAGCGGCGAGAGCATTCACCAGGGACAGAACAGGCCGATCGCCGAAGTGCACTGCTGAGGGGGTAGCGGGCGGGTCAGGAGAGGCCTGCCGCGCCCTGGGGGTCACCCCCTGGCTGGGGACCCAACTCGTGTTGTCGAATTTGTGCTGAAGCGGCTGTGTCTAGCTTCGTGGCACCGTGCTCTGTTTGTGCCACCAGGGAGGGCCCTTAACTCTTTTCTTAAGGAATTATTCTTGGTTTTACAAGCCCTATTTTCTAGGTGGGATGGGAAGAAGGTATGAAACCAAGAGTAATTTAGCTCCAAGTAGAGCAGGATCATCGTCTCTTTCCCCTGAGCGGGGCTGATCATGTTTCGGCTGACTTTGGGATTCCATCGCCAGGAGGAAACGGGGCGAAAGGGCCCCTCCCCTCACCTGTGGCTGGTAGCCGACGGTGGCCACACAGCGGTGGTCCACGAAAGTGAAGAGTCCCTCTACGTTGTGTCGAGAGATGAACTCTGTCGGTTGACAAACATTACTCATGTCTGTACAGTTCGGAGAACTAGTTACCTGGAAGCAGAAGACAAAAGTGAGGGTAAAGTGACCGTTCTCTAGAGCGGGCCTCCCCAGCTCCCATCGCCACTCGGGGCCTGAGGACTCCAGAGCTAGGAGTTTTCACACCTTCACTGATCATCCAGAGAAAGTAACGATCACGATGGGGGAGGGCGTGAGGCGCAGTGACGGCGCCGCACTGGGGCTTCGTCCATTTTGTACAGAAAAGTAAAGGCAAAAATTCATTCAACCCCATTCCACCTATTTTCACCCGGCTAGGTGTTCACCATTCAGACAGGAAAATTAGTCCCAAGTAACCAAGAAATTTAACTTATGAAAAGAATCACAATTAACTCCCCTTCTCTACTGCTAGTTACAGAAGCAAAACTAACTAGTGAGGAATAGAAAATTCGGCCTTGGAAAGCTAAGAGACATGAATGAGTGGAAAAGGCTTCCCTTCCTCTCAACAGCCTAAAATTCTATTGAACCGAAGAGAACGCCCTAGTCCTCCCACTTTTTGGTTTTACAAAATTCTTCATTTGTGTTCAGCAAGTAAAAGAAAAAGAACAAGTGAGTCCAAGAAGGGATTTCCTTCTTTACAAAAGAGGAGTAACACTGATGTGGAAAACTCAGACTTGCCTGAAGCCTGCCAATGGCCACGAGACAGAACTTGCTGCCCTGGCCAGCCTCCGGGTCATCGTCCGGGAGGGAGACACCTTGACGAAGGGAAAGGGGAAGGGGCGACAAAGTCAAAACGCCTTCAACATGCAGACAGGGCAAGACTTGAAATGCACCGGGCTAGGTGCTTCTCCTACACCAAATTAATCTTCATAATGATTATAGGGGATACGTTACTTCCAAATTATAGATCAAAAAACCAAGATTTTATGAATTAACACACTCCCCTTAAGTTAAAAACTCTAGCAAATAACCATGCTAGAACCAACCCAGCTTTACCAAATCCAGTGTGAAGTCTCTCACTGAAACATACACCTCGCCTCTCGTTTTGGTCTCCCTACATGTAATACCCACCTGTCAATCACTCCCTGCCAGCAGGGAAGAATGCTGCTAAGACCGTAAAGTCCGACAGGTCCATATAAAAGGCGGACCCAGGCCCTCCCTGGTGGTACAATGTGGTAAGTCTCAGCACTATGAAGCTAGCTGGCCTCAGCCACTGCAGCACGAGTTCGATCCCCAGCCAAGGGTGATGACCTACACAGCATAGCAGATCGCTCCTAACCAGCCCGCTGCCCCCTCAGCAGTATACTTCATTGATCTGCCCGTTCTGCTCCCCACTCTGTCTCTGGTAGATCCTCTCAACCCCTGCACCTCTGGCCTGTACCCCAGTTCTGTAC